GTTGCTATAGTTTTTACGCTGACTGTCGCCTGGTGAGCCCCCTTTAGGATGCGATGACTGGGTTTGTCATTAGGCCCCCCTTCAAGGGTTTAAATTTCTCCTTCCAAGAAAAAATTTCATTACTTTACTAATGCTCTTGTCGAAGATACCCATTTGTTTTCACGGCTCACAAATTCCCGAGTATGGGCCAGTTTCTTTGGGCCTTTTCTTTGATCATCGGTTGACTGGAAATTTACATTTCCCCCTTTGAAGGCAGTTACCCCTGGTCGGCTGAATCTCCTTAAAGTTCGTGAGCACGTTTATGAGGAGCGATCGCCGGCTCTTTCCTTTGCGTCCACCCTAGTCGTCCAAGTGGCCCCTGGCTGGGTGGCAAAAAGTCTCGCTTCGAACATTGAGAGTCCTGGTTCGATTCCCAGCGAAGGGATGGAAACATTAGACGTGTTTGCTTACACCGGTTGTCTATGTTTACCCATCAGTAAAATGTGTACCTGGGTGTTAGTCGACTAGTGTGGGTCGTATCATGGGACAAAACTGACCTAATTTGCCAAAATGCTCTGCATAACAATCGGCTTTCTATATAGTAGTACATGTATGTCACTGATGTGACCTAGGCCTGTATACGAGTAAGACTATTGTAAGTCTCCAAATACCATATCAGACGTCTATTCACCAATCGTTCCATCACCTTACAGACTACACTGGTGAGAGCAATGAGACAATAGTGAGAGGTATCAAGTCCCGCGGCGCCTGGTTTGCAAAACGTTAGTACAATGGCAGATTTCCATTGTTGAGGGAAAACCCCTCTCATCCAAATAAGATTGAAAAGACACAAAGGGACTGTAAGGGCTGTAGAATGCAGATATTATAGCATACTGATATGAATATCATCAGGCCCAGCTGCCGATGACTGGCAAGTGGAAAGCGTGGACTCTAGTTCGAGGAGAGTGAAAAGTACGTTATATGGCTCCATTCCATTAGAGAAGTCCAGGGGCAATTGCTTCTACGTAGACTTAGACTCAAGAAATGAGGAACAGAGGTGAAACCCTTAGGAGACATGGACAAGATAGTTTCTGATTTCCATGGCGACTTCGAGAGGGTCTGCAACACTAACACAAGCAACCTGCAAAACGGGAGCTGGGTCCGGAGAGTACTTGCCACACAACTTCCGTGCCTTCTTCCAAGTCTCACACAAAGGGAAAATCGTGGTCTTGCCAACAAGTGCATTTAGCATCGCCTATGACGCTACGAGCGTCTGCCCTTGTCCACTTAAAATCCAAAAGACCATGTGAGTTCCAGTTATATCGATAACAGCCCCAAGCAGCACATTTCAAACGCACTGCACGGCCACACGCAGGAGACCATTAAGGCAAGCATGTCCGTGAATGCCTACCTGAGGTTTGAGGAATAGAATGTGATGCTGCAGTCAAAAGTAAGGTCGAAAACTGGTGCACCAGCTCATCAATAGAGGACGATGGACGGTCCCCACAATAGGTGGTAAGATGAGAGTATATGTCTCAATTTGCTCATCCAAATTGCCAACGGGGGCTACGAGGCGGTCGGAAGTAAGAATAGGAAAGTGATCACTGTCGTGCAAATCTGGGAGAACAGACCAAACGTAATCAATTACAATTGACAAGGAGCAGATAGAAAGATCATTGCAAGAGAGAGACTGAGTGCAAGAGTTAAAATGGGTCGGAGCATCAGTATTTAAAATATGAGGAGGATTAGAAGCGAGAAGAGTCTCCAGATGATCACCATGAGAGTCACAGGGGGATCCTCCCAACAGATGATGGTGAGCATTAAAAGCACCTAACAACATGATAGGAGGCGGTAGAGAAGATATTAAGAACTCAATATCCGAGATACAGAATGCACGGGAAGGGGAGAGATGTAGAGAGCAAACTGTATACCACCTGTGCAAATAAATACGGGCTGAAGTATAATGCAGCAGAGAACGAACAAAGACCTGTTGATACGGTATACCAACGCACACAAGAAGTGCACTCTCATTAAAAAATTCATCAGGAAAGGGAATCAGAAGAATCGAACAGCACATAGCACGATACGGGACGAATAACAGCTGAACGAATTTTCGGCTCTTGTAGCCCGACACATACTGGGGAAAACTTGGAAAGCAACATCTGGAGCTCTCCTGGATTACCCCTGAGGCCACGAACATTTCATTGTAAATAAGTCAGAAGTGTCTCAGCATGTGAGGAAGATGCTGATACCATGACTTCAGAGTCAGGAGCAAGTAGAGATTAGGGAGACTATGGAGGGAACCAAAGAGGTCTGAGAGGGGAGGGGAGTATGAACCTATATAGAGATGCGCCGGTGGGGACAGAAGAGTCCTGCGGCAGAACAGGAGAGGAAGGAGGTTGGAAGGTAACTGGGGAAGAAGTCTGGGGGGCACAGGAGAAGGAGAACCACAGGATGGGGGGTGAACCACCACCTCCGTGTGAGAGTTAGAAAAGGGGTGAGAACGAGGCAATGAGGCCGAAAAGGAAAACTGATGGGGAATTGTAAGTACTGGAGGAATGCGAGGAGACTTGGGATTATCAGATAGGTTCAGCTTCGCAGGTGATAGGCATGAAGAAGATGCAGGCATTAGAGACCTTGCAAACTGAGAAACTATCGGGCGAGAAGAAAAAGTAGAGGTAGGAGTAGGTAAGGAGGTGGGAGTTTTAGTGGGTAAAACTGCAAAAGAATCAGAGATGGGGGTGACCCCAGATGACACGGCACCGGAGGAGTTGGTAGCCAGGGGCACCGCCAAGGTTGGAGGTCTCCTAGCTACTTGCGAATAAGGGATACGAGAAAGATTCCCTTAAAGGCAGAGCCGAGAGACAGCCATAGGATTTCTCATTCGTTATGATAGACCTGACAATGGTGGGAAAAAGACGGATGAGGTTCATTGAAATTGATGCAAATGTGGGGAAGACTGCAAGATGTATCAGCATGATCTGTGGCACCGCTGACCTGGCACTCCTACACAGATCTGCAGTATTTAGCGAGGTGTCCAAAGCGCCACCAATATCGACACTGTTGGGAAGTAGAGACCACATTATGAACCTCTAGGCAGTGGCCCGTGATATAAATGGAGGACAGAACTTCAAGGCAGTCAAAGGTTAAGCAGGCGATGTTACTGGGAAAGCGCCTCCGCCCACGAGCAGGCAGGACATATGTATCCACTTTGAGAATAGGAAGGTCTTGAAAGGCTAATTTCTCCAAAATATCATCACTGAAAGACAGAAAAAATTACTCTGTACAATTGTACACGGTAAAACCACCGTACCTCTGCAAGAGTAGCATGCTTGTGAACTGTGATTGGAATCTTATCAATGAAAGTAATGTGAGAAAGATCATGAGCTTGTTCTACATTCTAAACTGTAACGATACACTCACAGTTTCAAAGAGCGTGGAAGGTTATATTTTGGCCAACGTGTCGTAAAAAAGCTTTGCAATAACTATAGTCAGAAAGATAATCAGTTGGAGATGTCGGTTGTAGAGTAAAGAAATTAGTCCACTGCGTACTTGTAAACATGGTGCGTAGAAGAAGTGGGTGTCACGTAGGTCGTTTTTGGGTAGAATGAGAAAACATCGAAGAACCGTCATCAGTCAATGGTCCGGAACTTTTAGGCGTAGTATCGCGGGAGGTCCAACCCGAGGTAGATGGGTGATCTGAAAACCGTTGCACCATATTCGGGGAAGCTGGGTGCATAGTAAAAGGCGTGCAAGAAGCGGAGGCACTAGAAAGAATGGGCGGAGCCTCATCACTTGGAACGGGTGACGAAGTGTCACCAGCAGAAGGTACATGGGAACGGGAAGAGTCTGGAGAATGGTCCAGTAACGAAGCTGGGTCAGAACAAGACGTGGTAACAAAAAGGGCCCTGGCAGGAGGAGAGTTATCACGTGACAAAGGCTCCATGATGATGGAACTTTTCTTACTATTATTTTTAAGAAAATAAAAAGAAAGAAGGAAAGGAAAAAAACAAAGAGGGACAGCTACTAGAAGGCATGAAAGGGCTGTGAGTTCCACCTCTCCTCCTAGAGGACCTAGAGACGTAGAGCAGTGTAGATGCAGCGTAGAACCGGTGCCATACCCTACCGGTCACGCCAGTAAATCAGCGATCTGGGATAGCAACCCCACATCTACCGAGCCACCTCGGTGGACAAAAGAGAGGGCAGTCAGAAACCTGCCACAAAGCATACCTCCGTCGGCTGTCATTTCCCAGAGCCGACGAGCAGCCTCTGGAGGTACACCCGTCAACTGCAGGACACCCCACCCACTTCTCGGAAATCCGGGAAAGAAGTAGGGCACTTCCAGATAATCCAGATTCCACGACAAACTACACCACACCCGAGGGACCTCATGGAGCGAGATGAACCCCGGCATATTTCCCCCCACCTAGAAACTATAATGCCAGAGGGGAGGACCCCAGAGGCTACAAACGGGATGGGAAAAAGGAAGTGTTAGGAGGGGGGAGGAAAGGGAAAAAGGGTGAATGGGGAGGATGCGATAGGGAGGGGAGGATTGGGGGTAACTAGGTTCGGTCTGAGGAAGGAGACCAAAGGGTCTAATTCCTTAGACCAAGAGCCTCTTTGCCGCATCAAGGAGCCCCCTTGAAGAGGTCACTATAAATAACGTATTACCACTTTGTGTGTGTGTGTGTGTGTGTGTGTGTGTGTGTGTGTGTGTGTGTGTGTGTGTTAGTTACAGTACAGGAGTGGCATATACTCTTGCTTTACTTAAATTTGCCATTCGATGAATTTTTATGTTCCTTCATATACATGTTTCACCTCTTATTAAAACTAATTACTGGTTAAGCACAGTTAATCTGTGCTTCATATATTCTTGACAAGATGTTTTTCATGAAAGGAATGCGTATTTTATATTATGTGTATGAACAACATTTTGGCAGTAAAATTTCACTTTGTTTTATGAGTCTTGGAATTTGTTTATTAATTAGTGTATGAGGTATGTAATAAACATTTTTCCTCAGGCTGAGGTGGTTGGTGCTTCTAGCCCAGAGATGCAGGTACGGTCTGTACCATCACCAGCTTCCTGCAAAGTGGAATCATCTGAGAGGGCCAGTGGTCGTGTGCAGGAGTCTCACAGGCCGGATGCTGCAGCACACACTAATCAAATCCAATATCCTCAGTCATCCTACGTCTCTCGTGCTCCACGCTCGGAACAGTCTTCGGTATCTGTGCAACAACCTCCCTTAACTCATGTAGGATACTCACTGCAGTCTATCCACACCTTGGAACAACCTCACGCAACTCTTAGTGCTCATATTGGACATACTCCTCATCCAACCTGCACTACTCTTACCTCACATGTTCCTCACCCAACCCACACTACCCTTTCCTCACATGTTTCTCACCCAACCAACACTACTCTTCCCTCACATGTTCCTCAACCAACCCACACTACTCTTACCTCACATGTTCCTCACTCAACCCACACTACTCTTACCTCACATGTTTCTCATCCAACCCACACTACTCTTACCTCATATGTTCCTCAATCAACCCACACTACTCTTACCTCACATGTTCCTCACCAAACCCAGACTACTCATGTCTCCCACCCCTCTCAACTTACCAAAAGTATTCGTGTCTCACATCCTTCTCGGCCGGCTCACAGTGCTCTTACCTCACATCCTCCTCACGCTACCCAGAGTACTCTAGCTTCACATCCGCCTCATCCTTCCCAAGGAACTCATATCTCTTATGCTCCTCACTCAACTCACGCACACCATTCTGTTCATTTCTCAGATCTTTCTTACAAGACTCATGCTGGAAAAGTTCATTCACAACCTTTAACGTTTTCACAGTCTTCGCATTTTTACAGTTTCCCCACTTCATTATACGGTCAAGTACCTCAGTCAGCCCAACCAGTAGATCCGTCATCTTCCTGTGTTCATCAAACAGTGTTTTCTGACCAGGCTATCCATACCAGTCTCCCTGACCAATATACTTATGCGAGCCGTGCAGTCCACCATGTCCATACTTACCATTCTCCTCATAAAATAAGCCAACCACATACCCATTCGAGTCATGCAGTTTCAGCGCCGTCAGCATGTTCAAGTAATACAGTAGAGTCAGTCTCCTCTACACAGGATACACACACGGTATATACTCCGCAATATATTCGTCATGTTCATGATGTGTCCCCCGTGCAGACAGCACGTGGTGTTCCATCACTCCAGATTAGAAAACGAGTACACCAAAGTCATTCAGCTCAGCCTGACCATTCTGTGATCGTTTCTCATCCTGGTCGTTCAGCTCAATGTACCCAGCACCTCCATCACAGTCTCACAACTGGTAGTACCTGTCATGACCATGGAAGTTACTCGGTTACCTCTGGACAGCCCTCACACGATACACAAAGCACCCAGCATACCCCGCCGACAAAACCAGCACACTCCTCATGCTTAGTCCAGCCTTCCCACCCTACTGTTTGGAGACATTCTTGGACCGAAGGAGAAGCAAAAGAACAGCGAGTCTGGACGAGACCTGATAGGGGTAGCATGCCAAGGTTTGAGTATGAAGAAATGGTAGTGTCTGAACATACCTATGAAGGGGAGAGTATACGTAGACATGAATGGGAAGGACAGGCAGAAGGAAGGTCAGAAGATGGTCTGACACGAGGAGAACTTGCATCGTTGTTGAAACGTCTTGAACATCGCACTCCATCAGAACAATCTTTGCTTGTTGCAGAGAGGGATGAAGATACATTAATATAAAATACACAAGCTAAACAATACCCCGATCTTTAATTGATCATAATAAAATAATGGGTTAGGGTCTGTTATACCTAAAGTTATGTAGTAACCCTAGAACAGGTTCTGCATAAATGGTTACTTAAACTTTATGCTGCATGTGTGTTGTGGCTACTTTGTGGTCATTCTATGTGACAGAAATACGCTGCAGTTAATTTAGCGTTTCAGTAATTTTTTTTATTATGGAGTGAAGTTGTGATGCACTTAAACCCATGTACTCATGTACTGTAACACGTGAATATATGCTTTATTTTTAGGTCTTACAGCACATTATACAACAATTATTAGAATGAAAATGACACTGCAATTTAGGCAGCTGTTATTTAGTCAATTTAAAACATTTTTAATTCTTTGTAGATGAATATTTCTTCTTCCCACAACGGCAGTTAGTATACTCAAGACAGGCAGTTTCCCAAATAGTTGATGAAATATGTCGTACTGAATTGGTAAACTTGGTCAATTAACAAGTACTCATTTCAAATTAAGTCCTTTCTGAAATATTCTCTTATACGTTTAAAGATATATTTTTTTCATTTATGTTAATATAAAAATTATTAATTTTGTACCAAAAGATCCTTAGAAAACTTACCTAACCTTATCATAACATGCACATTGTAATTTATTAATTTAATCGAGCTAAATATTATTTAGTTAAGTTTACAATAATTTAATAAAAAAGAAACATATTGAAGTATATTTTTTTCTACGGGTTCACAATGATTTTTGCCCAATTACTGCATACATTAATTTTTGCTTGCCTTACTCGGCAAGAAGAGAGTTGCTATGTAAGGTAAAAAATTGCAAGTTTTACCTGTTCGGTACATATAACAATAACAACACTGCGACTACCTGGAGGATCGAACCCGTGCTGTTTTAGTCCGCCTCATGTGAGGAAAAATTCACCATGCTCTAACCCACGGGACCATACAATCCCACAAGAATCACGTACCCAGCAGAGCCAGGAGCTGTACCGCGTTCCGAGAATACACGATGGCATGCACGCCCCAGAGCCAATTTCATTCCACTCTCCGCCCGCCATACCAGCCCCCACAAGAAGTATATACAGCATTGCAACCATGAACAAGTGGCATCCAATAAAAAAAAAAAAAATGCGACTAGCCAGGTTATCGAACCCGTGCTACCCCACCCTGCCTCATGGTGAGCAAATATTCACTATGCTTTAACCCACAGGACCACACAGTCCAACAAGAATCATACACCCAGCAGAACCAAGTGCTGCACCATGATCCGAGGACACCCACCTGTGATCCTGAGGTACCCACACCATCGTATGTCTCCAGATCACGGCACAACACCCAATTCCGCCGGGTGCACGAATTCCGCAGGACTGCACGGGTCCTGCGCAAATTTTCGCTCACCATAAGGCGGGCCAAAATAACACAGGACCGATCCCCCAGCCAGTCGCAGTGTTGCCACTGATCAAATACCACTTGTTCGTGGTTATAATATATTTATTATATTATTATAATATTATTTTATATATTATTTTTTTTTTTTTTATATAAAAAAAAAAAAAAAATATTTATATTTTTTTTTTTTTTTTTTTTTTCAAAAAAGTCGGCCCCGTCTCCCACCGAGGCAGGGTGACCCAAAAAAAAAGAAAAAAATCCCAAAAGAATACTTTCATCATCATTCAACACTTTCACCACACTCGCACATTATACTGTTTTTGCAGAGGTGCTCAGTTACAACAGTCTAGAAGCATACCTATAAGATACCAACATATCCTAAAAACTCCAATATCCCAACCCTCCTTTAAGTGCAGGCATTGTTTTCCATTTCCAGGCTAAATCGACTTTGAAATACGGTTTCCTAAATCCTTCACTAAATTTACCCTGTCACACTCAACAGATCGTTAGTCCAAGTACATTGTCTCCATTCACCCTTTATTAACACGCTCCGCAGCTTGGGGAGTCAAGCCCTTACCACAAAACTCCTTTACCCCCTTCTCCAACCCTTTCGAGGCGACCCCTACCCCGCCTTCCTTCCCCTATAGATTTATTATGCTTTCCATGTCATTCTACTTTGATCCATTCTCTCTAAATGACCAAACCACCTCAACAACCTCTTCTGCCCTCTGACTAATACTTTTTATTAACTCCACACCTTCTCCTAATTTCCCACTCCGAATTTTCTGTTATATTTACACCAACATTGCCCTTAAACAGGACACCCTCACTGCCCCCAACCGTTCCTCGCTGCTGCATTTACCACCCAAGTTCACACCCATTTTAAGAGTTTTGGTACTACTATACTTTCATACATTCCCTTCTTTGCCTCCATAGAAACGTTTTTTGCCCTCCACATATACCTCAACGCACCACTCACCTTTTTTCCCTCATCAATCTATGATTAACCTCATCCTTCATAAATCCATCCCGCCGACACGTCAACTCCCAAGTATCTGAAAACATTCACTTCTTCCTTATCCTCCCCCCCAATTTGTATCCCAATTTTCTTTATCTAATCATTTGACAACCCTCATCACCTTACTCTTTTCATGTTCACTTTCAACTTTCTACCTTTACAAAACCTTCCCAAACTCATCCACTAACCTTTGCAATTTTTTCTTTAGAATCTCCCATAAGCACAGTATCATCAGCAAAAAAATAACTGTGTCAATTCCATTTTGAATTTGATTTCCCCTAATTTAATCCCACCCCTCTCCCAACACCCTAGCATTTACTTCCTTAACAACCCCCTCTATTTAAAAATATTAAACAACCATGGTGACATTACCATTCCTGTCTAAGGGCCTACTTTTTACCGGGAAATAGTCTCCCTCTCTTCTACAAAACCCTAACCTGAGCCTCACTATCTTCATAAAAACTCTTTACAGATTTAATAATTACCACCTATTCCATATACTTGCAACATCTGCCACATTGCTCCTCTATCCATCTATCATATGCCCTTTTTTAAATCCATAAATGCAATAAAAACTTCCCTACCTTTATCTAAATACTGTCACAATATGCTTCAATGTAAACACTTGATCTACACATCCCCCACCCACTCTGAAACCTCCTTGCTCATCTGCAAACCTACATTCTGTCTTACCTCTAATTCTTTCAATTATAACCCCACCGTACACTTTTCCTGGTATACTCAGTAAGCTTATTCCTCTTATAATTTTTACAGTCCTCTTTTGTCCCCTTTCCCTTTATATAAAAGGGACTTTACATGCTCTCCGCCCAAACCCTAGGTACCTTCCCCTCTTTCATACATTTATTGAAAACAAAGTACCAACCACTCCAACACTTTTCCCCCCCCTGCTTTTAACATTTCTGTCATGATCCCATCAGTACCCGCTGGGTTTACCCCTTTCATTTTACGTAATGCCTCACGTACCTCCCCACACTTTCATTCTGCTCTTCTTCACTCTTAAAAGATGGTATACCTCCTGACCAGTGCATGAAATTACTGCCTCTGTTTCTTCCTTAACATTTTAAAAATTCCTCAAATATTCTCGCCATCTACCTATACCTCCATCTCCCCATCTATAACTCCCCTACTCTGTTTTTAACTGGACAAATCCATTTTTCCCTTGGCTTTCTTACTTGTTTAACTACTCCAAAATTTTTTCTTATTTTCATTAAAATTCTTGACAGTGCCTCTCGAACTCTATCATTGCTCTCCTTTTGCACTCTCTCACCATCTCTTTACCTTTCTTTTACTCTCCATATATTCTGCTCTTCTTATAACACTTTGCTTTGTAAAAAACCTCTCATAAGCTACCTTTTTCTCTTTTATCACACCCTTTACTTCTCATTCCCCCAATCACTCCTCTTTCCTCCTGCACCCACCCTCCTATAACCACAAACTTCTGCCCCACATTCAATACTGCATTTTTAAAAACTATTCCAACCCCTTCAACCCCCCCATTACTCATCTTTGCCCCTATCCCACCTTTCTGCCAATAGTCGCTTATATCTCGCCCCAACTTCCTCCTCCTTAGTTTTACACTTTCACCTCCCTCTTACTTTTTGTTGCCACCTTCCTCTTTTCCAAACTACCTCTTACTCTAACTGTAGCTACACTAAATAATGATCCGATATATCGTTGGGCCCCCCTATAAACATGTACATCCTGGGAGCCTACCCATCAACCTTTTATCCACCAATACATAATCTTTAAAAAAACTACTTTCATTACGTGCTACATCATACCTTGTAAAATTTTTTTCCTCTTTTTCATAAAATATGTATTACTTATTACCAATTTCTTTCTACACATAGCTCAATTAAAGGCTCCCCATTTACATTTACCCCCGGCACCCCAAATTTACCTACTACTCCTCCATAACATTTTTACCCACTTTAGCATTGAAATCCCCAACCACCATTACTCTCACACTTGATTCAAAATCCCCACGCATTCACTCAACATTTCCCAAATCTCTCTCTCTCCTCTACACTTCTCTCTTCTCCAGGTGCATACACGCTTATTATAAAACCCCCTTTTCACATCCAAAACTTTATTTTACTCCACATAATCCTTGAATTAATACATTTATTGTCCCTCTTTTCCTGCCATAGCTTATCCTTCAACATTATTGCTACTCCTTCTTTAGCTCTAACTCTATTTGAAACCCCTGACCCAATCCATTTATTCCTTCCCATTGAAACTTCCACCCCCTTCAGCTTTGTTTCACTTAAAGCCAGGACATCCAGTTCTTCTCATTCATTTAAAATCCACAATCATCTCTTTCTTATCATCTGCACACATCACGCACATTCAGACTTCCCACTTTGACAATTTTCTTCTTCTTATTCTTTTTAGTAATCTTTCAGGGAAAAGGGGTTACTAGCCCATTGTTCCCGGGATTTTAGTTGACTTTTACAACACGCATGGCTTAGGAGGAAAGATTCTTATTCCTTCCCCCCTGGATATTAAAAGGAAAATTAATGGACCAAGAACTATTAAAATAAAATCAAAGAAAACTCAGATGGAGTGTGTTTTGAATAAATGTGTATATGTATGTGTAGTGTGACCTAAGTGTAGTAGAAGTAGCAAGACATGCCTGTAATCTTGCATATTTATGAGACAGAAAAAAAGACATCAGGGAATCCTACCATCATGTAAAACAATTACAGGCTTTCGTTTTACACTCACTTGGCAGGACGGTAGTACCTCCCTGGGTGGTTGCTGTCTACCAACCTACTACATATATATATATATATATAAATACATATATATATATACTACATATATATATATACTTTTATATTATACTAATTATATATATATATATATATTATATATATATTATATATTATATATATTATATATATATATATATATATTATATATTTTATGTCGTGCCGAATAGGCAGAACTTGCGATCTTGGCTTAAATAGCAACGCTCATCTTGCCATATGAAAAAAGCGAAAATTTGTGTATGCAATAATTTTGCCAAAAATCATTCTGAACTAAAGAAAAAATGTATGTCACTATGTTTATTGTAAACAAATCTAAAATAATTTGTTGGGTTAGGCTAAAATAAATTGTCTTGA